GTTTAGACGTAAAACTGCGTTTAGACGTAAATCTGCGTTTAGACGTAAAACTGCGTTTAGACGTAAATCTGCGTTTAGACGTAAACTGCGCTTAGACGCAATCTGCGCTTAGACGCAAACTGTGTTTAGATGCAAACTGCGCTTAGACGTAATCTGTGCTTAGACGCAAACTGCACTTAGATACAAACTAAGAATTAGCTTTTGCATCATAATAGTTTTTGTTGAACGAACGCAGCTTTTGGTTTTAATCGCTGTAAGATTTCCACTGCACTAATTCACCCCCCCCTCTTAGTGCTCTCGATCCTAACACCTCCATCAAATGCTCCTCCAAGATAAGGTGCATGTGCCCAGAAGCTCCCTTCGTCTTTGCCACCATGTAAGATGAGTCCGTTCCGTCAGAATGAAGGACCTATGGAAAAACATGATTCTACTCTTGCCTCTAGAAGAGTTCATGTCCTTGACCTCTGTCTAAGGAAAGCACTGTGCCTCCGCTCCATGTTCCAACTGCTATGCTGGCTCCCTTTATGCGGCTTGGGTACTTCGCCAAGTTACACCCAAGTTGCTCCGCTCCTCGGTTTTGCATTGAGTTGATGGTGGCCCTCGCGCCCACCATTCCACGGGTCAGCCCTCCTTTGAGTCCGATCTCCATATCGACTCTAAGTGTGCCTTCATTTGTGTTGCTTTGGGTCGCTACCCCACTTGATCTCGCAATGCATCCACTAATGCATTCTCTCGAGCGAGATCATGCGACAACTCCTCGCCGCTTGTTCAGTCCATTGAGCTTCGTGGAGTTGTTGTTTGTCGAGGTACTCCTCCTCAACTTGTGAGGTTCGTCTCACATGATTCTCCCTCTGGAGAGCCGGGACTTATCCCTCCTGGATAACTGTCCCATTGGAGCAACATCTCTCTTCGTTTCGGAGACCACCATCCCCTTGGACTACTCCGATCTGCTGAATAAACTGTGCATTGTTCTGCCTCCTGCAAACACACTTGCTAGATTGCGACTCCATGTCAATACAGCCCCCGCTGCACCCCTCAAGGCCTAGCAACATGCTGAACTCGTTGCACACTTCAGCCTCCTACGGACGTATCCTTCACATGCCGAAGAGAAAGTTTCAATGCTCCATGGCGCCGAGTTTCGGTCGCCTTGGGATGGCTACGAACATTCTATCGTCCGCATACAAGTCCATGCATGAGTACCAAATTCTTCGAGTTAGCAATTCCCCTCACCTCTGTGAGCTTTGCATAACTCTTTTGGTCGTTGAGCAACTCATTCCACCTTGCATGGTCTCATTCTTTACCAAGCACCTCGCTTGCCTTGAGCACCATCAAGTATGGTTGTCAACGTTGAGCCGTAGCTCAAACTCAGCCATCCCAACCTTTGTGCGCTCTGCATTCTTCCAAGCTTGTCTGTTCTCGTGGTGCCTCTTACGCAAAGGGTTGGCCATTCCTCTGAATGCCAATCTCAGATGCCCGTTCCTCCGAGCGACTCCTTTTCCCTACATCTCCATGCCTGTTTTCCCCCAAACGGTCATGCGTGTGCTGACTGCCCTCAACGCAGCCCCGCTAGGTCCCCCACGTTTGCATGCTAAGTGCTTCTATGAGTGCTTGTCCCGCTTTGATACCATCTGTCACGGACTTAGCTGGTTTTGCCTAAGTCGTGCGGCACCCTTGCGTGTCCGTCCGCAAAGGTCATCCTCCCCGAAGTCTCCCATGTCCCTTAGGACCCACGAAAGAGACAACGGGTTAGAGAAAACGCCTCAATCGGGATCCACAAGCAAACATATCCGAAAAAATACTTCATAGACAATGCAAATTACAAACAAACTTTACAAGCTCTGAACAGTTGCACAACAAAGGGTAAAATGGTCCATTACAGACCAAAAATCTCTCGCACGTGTCCACATGACACAACCTTTATTTACAAGCCTAAAGAGGCCACCAACCCAACTAAAGTGGGACTATTAAGCCTTCGGCCACCCCTCTACATACTGTATAAGGCATGAACATGCCAAAAGACACGGACATACATAAGCATTACATCAAACATCTTGTTTAGAAGTTTGTCCGTGACAAGACGGGCGTGCCCGGCAGTTGCGTTGACCAGCTGATCGATCCTTGGGAGGGGATAGCAGTCTTTCGGGCATGCACGGTTGAGACTCGTATAGTCAACGCACATCCTCCAACTCCCATTAGATTTCTTTACCAGCACTACATTAGACAGCCATCGCGGGTACTTGACTTCCTCGATAAAGCCAGCCGCTAAGAGTCGCTCCACCTCTTTGCGGACGGCGAGTTGCCTATCGGGGGCTTGGCGTTGTGGCTTCTGTTTTACGGGCTGGGCATCGGGCGAGATATTCAGGTGGTGCTGGGTGGTCTCTTGGTCGACGCCGGTCATGTCGAATGGCGTCCAGGCGAAGACATCGGCGTTCTCCTGCAGGAAACCGACGAGCTACTCTCGTTCTTGCTCGGGGAGTTCCGACCCGACCTGGACCATCCAATCCGGGCGATCCTCCATCAACGGTACGTTGCAAGTGGGCACCGTTGGCTCCGGATGTGGTGTCGACCAATTCTTTTCTCTCGGGTCCTCTAGAGGTTGGTTGGTCTTCGCCCTTTTGTACAGCGAAACCGCCGTCAGGTAGCATCGTCTAGACTCTTGGGGGCTTCCCCAAACTTCCCCTGTCCTGGCGTGGGTAGGAAACTTCACCGTCTGATGATAGGTGGAGACTACAGCTCTGATTTTGTTGAGGGTGGGGCGGCCAAGGATGGCATTGTAAGCAGTAGGAAGATCTACCACCAAGAAGGTGGACATCACCATCTTTGTTCTGGGCGGCGCTCCTAAGGTCAGGGGCAAGGTAACGGTCCCCAATGGTGAGACCGAATCGCTGGTGAATCCCGTGAGCACCGAGCAGATAGGCTTCAGGGATTCTTTGGTTAGCCCCAACTTCAGGAAGGCATCCAGATAGAGCACGTCGGCTGAGCTCCCGGTGTCGATCATGATTCTCCTTACCTAAGTGTTAGCGATTCGAGCCATTATCACAAGCGCGTCGTCATGGTCTGGTCGCTTGACATCCTCGGGAGGGAATGCGACTTTGGGGTCAGCGCCGCATTGGGGAGCGTCAGTCTTGGCAGAACAGGCGTATGCCTTCCTCCCGGACATGCTGGTTCCCCCAACCGCCGGTCCTCTAGTGATGACATCGATGCGGCACTCTGCGGGGCCCTCCGGGCGAGGCGAGGGCTCCTTGTTCCGTCGGATGTACCAACTGAGGTGACCCCCGCGGACAAGCTCCTCGATCTGCCGTTTGAGTTCGCGGTAGTCTTCGGTGTCATGCCTGCTTTGCTCGTGAAAGCGACAATGCTTGGACTGGTCGGCGAGCTCTCGTGGGTTTTTCATCGGGACGGGAGCCCTGAGCAACCCTCTCTCCTTTATCTAGAGAAATATCTCCGTTCGGGACGCGCCCAAGGGGGGAAGAGGGGGCCTCGGAGCAGGGGGGTCGGATCGGTCCAGCCTGCGCCTAGTCGCGGTAGGCTGCTACTCGGGAGCCGGCTCAGGTCTGACCCTCGCGCGCTCTTCTTGCTTTCCGGCCATCCAAGCCTCAACCGCGATGAACTGGTTTGCCCGCTGAAGCATCTCAAGTAGCACGGTGGGGGGTCTCTCAACGAGGGACTAGAAGAATCGGGAAGGTCGCATTCCCGCCATGAACGCCTGCATCAACAGAGAGGGGTGAGCATCGGATAGTCCTCGGATCTACGTTGCAAAACGGTTCACAAAGTGGGAGAGGGACTCGTCCTCCCTCTGGTGCAGTCCGAGAAGCAAGGCAACGGACGGTTTCGGCTGAGCGCTGGCCAAGAACTTGAGCTCGAAGTCTTTGGTGAGCTGGTCGAATAAGGCGACCGTCCCGGTCCTCAGGCCGCTGTACCACGCGCGGGATGGTCCTCTCAGAGTTGTGGGGAACGCCCTACACATCAGAGCATCAGAGGTTCCATACAGTGCCATTTGGGTGCGGAAGGCGGTGACATGGTCCGTTGGGTCGGTGGAGCCATCGTATGTGTCCAGAGAAGGGAGACGAAAGTTCTATGGGACTGTCTGATCCCGTATTTCAGGGACGAATGGGGATCCCTGATGTACGTCCTTCCCGAGCTCTCCTCGTGACCTGCGGACCTCCTTCTATACCTCGTCAAGCCGTTGACTGACGAGGAGCAACTGGGCTCGCAGGGAGTCCAACAAGGCCGGAGGAAGGGCCTCGGGTTGATCATGGCCTTTCCGGTCCGCCGTCACTCGATCCCCGAGTGGGGACGACAGGACCCGAGGCGAAGCGAGAAGCTCCAGGGGCTGCGCTTGAGCCTAAACAGGCGGTTCCTGCTGTCGCATCGGTTCGGTGGCCGGCGGGTGCAGCGTTCCAGAGATGAGTGGAATGATGGACTGTACCATACCGGTTAGAACTTGGACCTGATGGGTGAGGTCGAGAAAGGCCTCGGACGAGACGGGCGACGGTTCGGCGGAGGGGGCGTCGGGTGGCAACAAACCTTGGTCATTGAAGATCCGCCAATAGCGCTCTGAAGTTGTGGCGGGGTGTTCGATGCGGAGACCCGCCCGCGGGGAGTGTTCCCCTGGAGCCCCGATTGGGTGCGCCCCTTTGATTGCGGGTTCGGCCGAGTCGGTCTGGCGATCCCTCGACATCGGGCCCTCCTTCTAGCGCCAAAATGTTGGTGTAAACAACTTTAAGCTGTGGCCTCGGGGCACCAAAATGTCCGGATGACGGGGGATCTCTCAAGGGGGGGTTCCTCGGGACTGCGGAGGTTGCCGACTCGGGTCGGTTCGGTCGTGGAAGTGGGTCGTCATTTCCTTCTGGAGGGGGCTCCTAGCCAATGCGTTCGAAGAGGGTCGCCTTGTCTTTGTCCCTGCACACAGGTCGGGTCGAGATGCCCGACCCGACCCCTCCGATGGTTAAGTTAGTGAATAGTCACAGGGGGTTTTTTATCTATGTTGGTGTCCTCCCTCTCCTCTCTTTTTTTCCCCCCCTGGTGCCCAGAGCGCAAGGGTATTTATAGGGGAGTTTAGTGTCACCTGACGTGCCTGCTTGTCGGGGGCAGGATCGTGCCTTCTAATGACGTCTGACATGGCTATTGGCATGGCGTGAGGGATCGAGCTTGAGTGGTCATTAATGGGCCTCGGTTGGCGTTGCGGCCCGTGTGGGCCAGGCGTTGTCAGCTCGACGGAGACGTGGGGCGTCAACTGATGTCACGTAGGTCTTATCGTAATTATCATCCTCATCATATATATACATATATATATATGTATATATATATATATATATATACATATATATATGTATATATATATATATACATATATATATGTATATATATATATATATATATATACATATATATATGTATATATATATATATATTCATGCAGCAAGTAATATAAAATGATAAAAAGTTAAATAATATAATAAACAAAAAGAGTATGTGTCATATCACACGTGTCATTACTCATATGATTGGCTTGTAGAGCACCTATGTAGGAAAATCTAGTGGCGTCTTCGCATGCGTAGTGGAAAAATAGAAAATAATAATCCTAAATTTCCTAAAAAGGTATTTACGTTATGCGAAGATTAGTGCGAAAAACCTACAAAACTTAAATCTACATGTGAGATAGTGTTTTTACCTAGGGAGTTTATATATCCCTGAATTCTTGTTGATTTATGGGATTGGATGAAGGAATTCAAGTGCCGTACTCTCTAGTGACGATACACACAGTAGGGCTATGATGATGCTCCTCCAATCACTACCCAAATCTCTATATTTGTTATCTAAGGAGGAGAAGGAGAGAGAAGAATAGGAGGTCGCAACTAGGAAGCCCTATCTTTTGGGTCGTTGGATCCCTCCTATTTATAGAGGCCCCTAATTAATTTAACCCTAATGGATCCTACCTTATTGGGTGCTGGATCTTCATCCAATTACCTAAGCCTCTTAAATTAGTGAGTCTCTATCTAATAATCTCTTATTAGCTCTTATTATATCTCATCCATGGGATCCAATAATTTAGAGGCTTATTAGATATCTGTTAGAACCCTTGCAGATTCTAAACTTGGGGTTGATCTCTTTAGGGGATCGGCCTCCTTGGAACTCTATAGGGGTTCCTCCCTCCAAGTTGCTGCTCAAAGGCTGCAGAAAAGATTCATCTATTGCTTATGAAAAGAGGTGGATTACATGACTATTTATAGGACTTCTAAACCCTAACTCCTAATAGGACTCTTACTTAAGACTCCTACTTCTAACTAACTCCTAATAGGACTCCTACTCAAGACTCCTACTTCTAACCAACTCCTAATAGGAATCCTACTCAAGACTCCTATTCCTTTACAACTCCTTATTCTTCTCTAAGAAATAACCTCCTAACCCTAGCCGGCCACTTCACCTCTTTAATAGGGGTCGGCTTAGGCAGGTTTTACATGAATGTCCCTCTCAATTAGGACTCTCCTAGCTAGAGTCCTAACAAACCCGCCCTCTTCAAATCAGCCTTGTCCTCGAGGCTGACGATTCATGAATTTTGGGAATTTGATCTTCAAGTCATCATAGTTCTCCCAAGTGGCATCTTCTGTTAGTAGGTTTGCCCATTGTATTAGCAATTCTGTAGTGGATCATTGTCGTCGAGTCACAATCTGTCGATCAATAATGGCACTTGGCTGAGTCTGAAGTTCTCCTTGGGTAGTCATATTTGGTGGGCAGCTTTGGGCTATCTCCAAGAACCTATTTACAACTTCCGTCTGGCCATCGGTTTGTGGGTGATATGCCATACTCCTTTTCAATTTAGTACCCTGGATATAGAATAACTTTGTCCAAAATCTGCGCGTGAAGATGCAAGTAGAATTTATCATAAGCACAATGCGTCCCTTATAGTGTAATTCTTTTGAGTCCCAATTGTAATGAGCCATGGGGCTTGGTGCTTCCTCCAATTTTTTTATAATCTTACTAGTCTCTGAATCTTCCTGCCATTCCATCTTAATATATTCAAGGAAGTCGCTGGTCGGAAGTGAAACGGCCGAAACTTCAACTTGCTCGGATAGCTGCGAAAGCGCATCTGCAAAAACATTCTCTTTCCCCTTTTTGTAAGTTATTTCATAATCAAATCCAAGAAGTTTTGTTACCCATCTTTGCTGCTCAGGGGATGTTATCTTTCGCTCCAAAAAGTACTTGAGGCTTTTATGGTCGGTTTTAATTTGAAATCGTCGACCAATCAAGTAGGGTCTCCACCTCGTTGCTGCGCGCACAATGGCGAGCATCTCCTTATCATATGTTAACTTATTTTGATGGGAGAGAGATAATGCCTTGCTAGTGTATGTGAGTGGTCGACCATCTTGCATGAGAATGGCTCCAATTCCGACTCCAGATGCGTCGGCCTCAATAATGAAGGGTCGGTTGAAATCTGGTAGTGTTAGCACCAGCGTCGTCGTCATGGCTGCCTTAAGTTTGTCGAAGGCAGCGGAGGCTCTGTCCGACCATTGGAAGACATCTTTTTTCAGTAAGGAAGTAAGTGGTGCACTGATCTCTCCATAGTTTTTCACGAACTTGCAGTAGTAGCATGTTAAACCCAGAAAGCCATGTAGCAATTTTATGTTCCTCGGGGTCGGCCAGTTTTGCATTGCTCCAATTTTGAAGGGGTCTACTGCCACACCTTCCTTTGATATGATATGCCCAAGATATTCCACCTTCTTTTAAAGAAAGCAAAAATTCATAGTGGTTGTTGTGTGTTCAAAAGGTGGTTTTCGATATGTCTTCTTCGCATACTCGTATTTGATGATACCCGGATCGAAGGTCCAGCTTTGTGAAGATTTATGCTCCCTTTCATCTAGCAATTCATCTACTACTAGAATAGGGTATTTATTTATCCTTGATGGTTATGCCATTGAGAGCTCGGTAGTCAACACATAATCGCCATGTTCCGTCCTTCTTTCGTATGGGGAGCACCGGGGAAGAGTAAGGGCTGCA